TTGTCAGCAGCAGTGTTTTCCAGTCTACGGTTCCCTCTGCCGGCCCACCTCTTAGGGGGATGATGCCTCCAAGGAAATCAAGAGGGAAGGTGCTAAATATCTATGGAAACCCACTGCACAGGATCACCAAGGCTTTATAATTAAACCACTAGTACTTCCTCGAGTCGTGCCCGTTAACTCGCCATGATTTTAGGAAACATACGGGCCAGTACAGGAGCGCCCAAATTCATCCGACTAGAAATGTTTCTACAACAACGGTAACTTCTTCATCTATATCAACAGCGCTCATAACGAAGACATCTTCAACATCAACGATCAATCCAACGACAACAATGGTGCTATTAACGATGACATCTGAAATTCAACTTCCAACAACATCTATCCATGCGACAGCCACTATGGTGAGTGCTACTCAGTCTCTTCCAATCCTCTCTTTGTGGGAGACTCTGCTGGGGCCGGAGGGTGGCCTGCTGGGGTCAAAGGGTAGCCGAGGGTTCTTTCTCGAAAGTTTTGCTGTGCATGGGAAGATGCCGACCTGGCGAGGCGCTTGGGGTGGCATGCTGATGAGTTGTTCCCGTGGGATTCGGGGGGGGGAKGAGAGGCTGTAGCAAGGGGTTGGGAGGCGGTGCCTGTGGTCTCMGTGTTTGTTCTCTTTCCCCCTCCCCTTCATGAGTGTTGATTTCCCTTKATTGCTGAATTCTTCCTCCCTTGATAAGCTTTGAGTTCATTTACTGTGGGTCATATTCAATTAGGGTTTGTGACTGGGACCTGGGATGTGCTCTACTGATTTGCCCTGCTATATCCCCCCCGAAATCTTGCTTTGTAGGGACTGATCATTGGTGGTCCAGTATAGTAGGGCAGAAGTCTATTGTCCATGGGGCTGAGTTAATCCTTCCCTCCTGGGGAAGCAATCAATGCTCAGCGCTCAAATCTTCATTCTTGTCGTACAGGGAAGCTGTCTCTATGGGAGCAGTGGCCGAGGCTCTTCCAGCCCTAATGGGAAGAGGCGTGTGTCTGCGGTGTATTCAAATTTATAATATGAGCCTTGGGCACTGGGCCTTTGTTAAATAAAAAAAAAAAAAAAAAAAAAGAAGAAGAAGAAGAAGAAGAAGAAGAAATGTTTCTACTCTTCTTTTTTTTCTGCGGCCGATAGCTGGGCCAAACCACCAGTACTTGGCCCAGCTATCGGCCGTGGCGCTTTCCCAATGGGAAGAGGCGTGTGTCTGCGGTGTATTCAAATTTATAATATGAGCCTTGGGCACTGGGCCCTTGTTAAAAAAAAANAAAAAAAAAAAAAAAAAAGAAGAAGAAGAAGAAGAAGAAGAAGAAGAAATGTTTCTACTCTTCTTTTTTTTCCGCGGCCGATAGCTGGGCCAAGTACTGGTGGTTTAAATCACCAGTACTTGGCCCAGCTATCGGCCGTGGCGCTTTCCCATTACGCGCCGCGCCTTTAGGGCTTCGGGGTACCGGACCACAATGGCTGGAAGCGCCAGCCAAAAAAAAATTGAAATGGTAACCCGGCGCTTCGGTGAAAATCGGCATTCAAGGGCATTCAGGCTCGGCATCGATAGCTGGGCCAAGTACTGGTGGTTTAAGGTGGCATGGGAGATGATAACCTGCCCCAGGAATGAAGGGGGTCTGGGCTTGTTGGACCCTAGGCAGCAGAACATTGCTCTATTATTTGTTAAATGGCCCATTCAAGCAATGTTTGGCTATGGGGGGAAACTCTGGGTAGTATTGGCAGAATACATCTTGAAGGCAGAATGGTCCCTTAGCCAAGGAACTCATGTGTGGTTATGTCTGTTAAAGCACCAGTACACCACACATCAGTCCGCAGGTGTCAGCACGAAACCCGCACCACTTCGGATGCCGCCAACTTTTTTTTTTCAACGGCATCCCATGCCGCACGGCCCCTCCGTGTTTCGCTTGTGGCGACAAAACTTTCTGCAAGGATGGGGCCGTGTACTTGCGGTTTAATAGTACTTAATGCCGTCTTTTTGCCAGCACCAACCAAAGTCAAGAATTTGGAGGGGTATTCCAATGGCCTGGAACAAAATCCAACCTCAGGCAATAAAGAAACCCGTCTCCAAGGAAGAAAAATATTAAATCAGGTATTATTTGAGACCTCTTCATCCGACATCAGAGTAAGGGACTTCTCCAGGCAGACGACAGCCCAGGCACCTTTTTTTTTTTTTTTTTTTTTTTTGAGAAACCGACCCGAGTGAATGCTAGGGGTGCTGATAAGAGCAGACACCACTAGCATGCTCGGGGAGGCTCCATCTATTGGTGGGGAGACAGTCCAGGCACCTTTGGTAGATCTTGGATTGAAAAAGGGGTTATCCAACTTAGAGACCTGTGTGATGCAGAAGACAATGGGTGCATATCCTATTGAGGAACTAAGAAGAAAACTGCCTAGAATACATAATGGGCCCGGAGCTCAGCGCTGGCATCAAAGTGCAGAAATGGATATTGAGATGGAGGAATAAAGAAGGCATATTGCAGTGGTCTAAGACTCAATGGTACAGACAACAGTAGGGATGGAGGAGGAAGTGCGGGTGATGGAAAGCCATTCAGGGGGTGGTTCAATATGCTCTTAAATCAGACCTGTAACTAATAACTTTCTACTGGAAACACTATTATTTGGTTGGAAAAGAGCAACATCAAAAGAGCTGAACCTTCCTCTGATAGGCTACGAAACTAAGAACGGTGTATTAATACACACGGCGACAGAGTACACAAGAAGCCGGTGGTTACAGCAAAAGAAAAGACTAGACGAAATGCGGGCAGATCTCCTCAGTCAGTCAATGATAAAGACCTCTGCATAAACTGTGGAGGGCATTGAAAAAGATTCCATCTCAGAAACAGACCACAATCCAGTGGCTCCAGTCCTTACAAGTCACTGCTTGTGCAACTTGGTTACGTCTCAAAAATGCATGCCCCGCTATCATCGGTCTGTTCTCGATGTAAGTGGGGCTGTGAATCTGCTCAGCATCTGTGGCCTCTACTGTCCCCACAGTCAGGCAAGGTCTGGGAATCGTGGAGAGAAAGATGGAAAAGAGACACCCTTCCATAAAACTGAGCGGTCTGATTACTTCATCCTTCCATGGGAATGCTACATCAGATGCAGAATTCACCGCAGGTAAATGGGGTACGTTGCGGTGGTCTGCAGGGGTCTACTACTGGAAGGAGTATGGTCTTCAAGGAATGCAAAGGTCTTTAAGAATGCGAACATTTGATTGAGCAGGTGTGTAGTACTTGGCCCAGCTATCGGCCGCAGGAAAAAATAGAGTAGAAATGTTTCTAGTTGGATGAATGTGGGCGCTCCTGTGGTGGCCCGTACATTTCCCAAAATCGTGGCGCATTAACGGGCACGACTCGAAGTCGTACTGGTGGTTTAAAGTCGAAATTAGATCAGTGATGATATTAGCCGATAAGCATAGGAAGAGCGAGATTTGGTTCTTGAAAATGTGGGTTGTGGACAACTACTTCGCATTCCATATCATGGACAAGTATGTCGCATCCATATCAGCAGCCTAAGGTAGGCTGACAACCTTTTTTTTTTTTTTTTTTTTTTCCCCCCCAGCCTCTGGATGGCTATATATTGACATTTGAACGCTTTAGGGCCACAGGAAAAAAATGGAATGGGACATGGAGATGATTCAGAAGGGGGTTTCAGGGCCTCGCCGGACGGTGCAGTAAACGAAACGAAACGACCTCAAACCTCGCGAGGGCTCGCGAGGCCAAGAATCACCGTTTTGACTCCTTTTTTGCATCACCGCCGCACAGCACACGCGAATTCCCTCGCGGAAAGGGCTTCGCTCGCTTCCAACATCGCTCGCGGGGCCTGACACATGCAAAAGTACAAATTTTTGGATGTGCTTTCTTTGGAGCCACGTGTTGCACTCGTGCGGATCCGCAGCTCCACCAGCAGTGAAGCGGAGGACCTGCGAGTTCGTGCGAGTTGCAGGCAGGGATGGCCGCTGCACGTGCTCACACTTGCAAACTTGGAGTAAACACTGACAGGATCCGCGAGGGTGCTGTGCGGCGAAACGTACGCGAAACGAAGTCATTTTGTTTTTCGTGTAGCATGCCGTCCGGCGAGGCCCTCAAGCAGAGTGTTCGTTGGCGGTTGTGGGAAGTAATCCCTGATGAATTAGGTCATTAATGTTTGTCAGTTGGTATGAACATGGTTTAATTACAACGTAAGCTGTCCATCGGTTCGTCAGAGGAGAAGTACATACTTTCCCCTCCTTTTCTGTGCTTCAAGTTTATTTTGGAGGAATGATCTCTTACAGAGAGAGTAAGACGGACGCTGGACCAGATTTGCAGCACGAGCCTATGGGTAATGGCCCCCGTCTTTCTCCCGGGTTGTTTGTGGGGATTCCCGGCCTCTTGCTTTCAGGTTTAATAAAGTTTGGACATTCCTTCAGAAAAAAAAGGAAGGAAAACATAACAATGCACCAACTGACCTAGCTCCGTAGGTACACACCCCTGAACTTTTAAAATACAGAGCCGAGTTCGACCTCCAGCCAAAGCAAATGCATGGATGACTAACAGGTCAGTTCGATGATGACATCTCAAGGCCGTCGCCCTTCATAAAAAGATTAAAATTCTAAAAAGACGAAAGGAAGAATAAATGTATTAAAAAAGGGGAAAAAGGGGGGGGCCGGGGCGGGTAACAACAACAAAAAAA